TCGGGCTTCCTGCTCAGCGGGAAGCCTGCTTCTCCCTTTCCCTCTGTGTGCCACTTCCCCCTGCTTGTGCTTTCTCTGTCTCTGTCATTAAATAAATAAAATCTTTAAAAAAAAAGATATGACAATATGATTAAGTTTCTGGTGATGAAGTGAGAGCACAATTGATAAGTAACACCTGAGGGTTTATACTCTAGGATATTGGGTACATTCTCTTCTACCCCTTTTCCTTCCTACTGGCTGGAATCTGAGGCAACCATTTGACTAAGGAGAAGATATAAGCTCTGCTTCCACCAACCTTGACTCTCAACTTAGGATGATTAAATGGAAGAAACATAAACTCTTTTTTTAAAAAATTTATTTGACAGAGAGAGAGAGACACAGCGAGAGAGGGAACATGAGCAGGGGCAGAGGGAGAGGGAGAAGCAGGCTTCCTGCCGAGCAGGGAGCCTGATGCGGGCCTTGATCCCAGGACCCTGGGATCATGACCCGAGCCGAAGGCAGACACTTAACGACTGAGCCACCCAGGCGTCCCATAAACTCTTTTTCTTTAAGCCACTATATTCTTTGTAGTCTGAGGCCTCTAAACAGTATTTCCTATTTTTTGTGTAAACATTTTATTTTGCTCCTGGAATTCCTTATTTTTGCAGAATGGAAATAATAAAAAATTCATTAGTCAATGAAACTGTCTCCAAGAATAGCAAATATCCTTGTGTAGATATGCTTATCTTATATTCCAGTATAAGGAATTAGTTCTGTTTCCATGGTGGGATAATTGAAACTATAACCTGGCTTCTTGGATCACTGAACTATGTCAGACATCTCCATCTCTAGCTTCCATGTGTTAGGATATCATTTAAATTGTTTTAAATTGTTTTCGTAGACCAAAACAGAATGTGGTTTAAGCAAGATAGATGCTTATTTCTTGAGTAAAAGTACAAAACAGTATACAAGAGGATCGAGCAACTCTGTTCTACAAGGTGCTCTTCGGTCTTGTGGTTCTGCCATTCTTGAGTGTATTAGCCTTGGTTAGACTTATTTTTTTTTTCTTCCTTATAAATGACTTGGCACAATTCTTGTATATCGAAAGAATATTTTTCCTTAACTTTAAAGTCTAATAGTTATATACTATTTAACATTTTCAGGTGTATATTATATGCCTTTTCAGTATCTGTATTTAAGTGTTATTTCAATAAGATTTATTTAAATTTTAATTTAAGTCATTACCCTGCTCCATTACTTTGGTTTTCTTTCTAGAAGACCCAGTTATGCATTTTGGATCTTGTTTGCATATTGCCTTTGTTCTCTATTTCTCTCAAACCATTGCTATTATTTCTGTTTGATTCTCTATACTTTTATCCTTGCTAGCCTCTATTTTCCTTATTGTGTTTTCCACAGTATCTATTCTATCTTGTGTTTCTTTTTCCTGTCTTCATTTCTAAAATGTATTTTTTATAATAATTCTATAATTCTATCATTTTAGTTTCCTATACCTCTGTTGTCTAATAATCTCATCTCCTTAAAATTTTTTTAACAAAGTATAACATACATACATACACATACCAACATGCATACATAAAAGTATGTAAATCATAAGAATATGGCATAATGAATTGTCACAAAGTGAACATACCTTCATCACCACCACACAGGTCAAGAAATAGAAAATTATCAGTATCTGAGCAGCTGTTCCCTTGGAAATCTTTCCAATCATTTGCCCCTCCTCTGGTCCCAAAGGCAACTACTAATGTTAGCCCTAACATCATAGACTAATTTTGCCTGTTTAAAAACTTTATTTAGAGGGCATGTGATGTGATGAGCACTGGGTGTTATATGCAACTGATGAACTACTGAACTCTACATCTGAAACAAATGATGTACTATATGTTGGCTAATTGATTTTAAATAAAAAAAACTTTATTTAAATGGCATCTTAGAGGGGCACCTGGGTGTCTCAGTCAGTTGAGCATGTGCCTTCGACTCAGGTCATGATCGCAGGGTCCTGGGATGGAGCCGTGCATCAGGCTCCCTGCTTAGCGGGGAGTCTGCTTCTCTTTCTCCCTCTACCTCTCCCCCTGGCTTGTGCTCTCTCTTGCTCACTCTCCCTCTCTCAAATAAATAAATAAAATCTTAAAAAAAAATAAATGATATCTTAGAGTATCTATTAATTTGGTCAACATCATATTTTTGAGGTTAACTCATATTGCCAGGTATAGACATAGTTCATTTTAATTCCTGTTTTGCATGCAGTTGTAGGAATAAGTCACAATTTATCCATCTGTTCTTTGTTAATGGTCATTTGGATTGTTTCCAAATTCAAGTTATTGTGGTATATTGAGATTTTGTTCAGGAGTTCTTCATTTCTCTGGCTGCTCCCTCCATAGGAAGCATAGATCTCCCTGCCCCCGTCATGTTGTACTTGGCCGGCACTGTGGAAGCTCTTGTTTTGCAGTCATAGTGCCTTCTGGGGTCTGCTCCTTCTGGGCCCCATTCTCCCTACTGCCTGAATGTTGTCTCTCCCTCCCCCTGAGTGTTCCTGCCTTAATCAATGTGGATTCTCGTCAAGCAGCTTATCTCATAGTGAGGCTCTACCATACCAGATAGGATTGTTGGCTACCTATATCTGAAATTGTGAAGAGTTTAAACCTGTATTGTCCAATATGGTAGCCACTAGCCACAGTTAGCTAGGGGACACTTGAAATGTGGCTAGTCTGAATTTAGGTGTGTTGTAAAGTAGACACTGGATTTTAAAGGTTTGATATTTAAAAAATGTGAAATGTTATTAATTTTTTATGTTAACTACATGTTGAATGATAGTATTTTGGATACACTGGGCTAAGCAAAGTATATGAGGAAAATTTCCCTTTTGCTTTGTTTAAATGCAGCTACTACAAAATTTAAAATTATACATGTACTGCTCACCTCATATTTCTGTTGGTTTAAACTGTCAACAGTATTGTGTTTGGATCTCTTAGTTATCTGTAACTTAAAAGAGATACTTTTTCAGATTATAAAAATAATTTATGACTATAGAAAATTTGGAAAACGTAGAAACCTTGTAAAGATAGAACTTACTCAGAATCCTAACATCTGGAGCTATTAGTAACACAATAGCATATTACTTTCCAGGCTTTTACTTTTTTTTTTTTTTAACGATTTATTTATTTGTTTTAGAGAGAGAGCGTGGCAGGGCGGGGCAGAGGGAAAGGGAGAGAGAGTCTCCAGCTGACTCCGAGCTGAGTGCAGAGCCCCTCGTGGGGCTCGATCCCACGACCCTGAGATCGAGATCACAACCTGAGCTGAAACCAAGAGTTGATGCTTAACTGACTGTGCCACTCAGGTGCCCCCAGGCTTTTACTTTTTTCTACAAGTATATTTTGACCAGAGATACACCAAGCATACATTTGGCTGAGTAACAATGGGATGAGTCTTAATATTAGTATGTGGCTGAATATCATGATCATAGAATGAAGTTCTGGGATATTTTAGTTCTGGGATATTTTAGATTCATTCTTATGAAACTAAATTGTAAAAATTTGTTAAAATTGTTACAAAGATTAGTAACAGACTTCAGGTGTTGGGCACTGTAGTGCCAGAATAATAATTTCTTAACCCTGTTAGGTGCTAGCTTGCTCTTGAGGTCTCTGTAAGTGTAGTGTATGTTTACACTACTGAATCAGATGCCTGTTTTCAGCAGAGTTCAGTGATGCTGCCACATCTTGCTGGTACCTGATTTTTCTCAAATACTTCTTTTTATGTCCTCTATTGTCTGTTTCATGTTCTTTTCTTCCTCATGAAATCCTGAAATGCCAAATTGATACTGTGCCCTAATTCATCTTCATGAGGTAGAATGAATTCCCAAATAGGACTTTTTCTTGAAAGATTCATGACCTAAATGGAATTAAATAATTACAAACCAAAACAGGTCTTCATTTTTTTAGCATAATGAATACTGCGACAACAAACTGGAAAGGTTAGAATTATGATATAATCCAGTCCCCATTATTCTCATATTGTTATTAAATTTTCTGTAAATAATTGTTGTCTTAGAAAGTAGACACTCATGTCCCTAAAGTTACTTCGCTAATGTGCTCTCTTGTTCTTGTGTTAACTGTCCATCTATTTTCTATTTCACATTTGAAATTTCTTAATTGTTTTTATTCAGTAATCAGTAACTTCCAAAATCATCAAGGCAGTATTTTACTCAGAATAATAAATATACATTTATACTTTGACTGATTTTTCTTAAATAATGGAATAAGGGAGGGGTTCTCAACCTCTGTACTTTTGATATTTTCACTGGGTAATTCTTTGTGCTGAGGACCTGCCCAGTGCATTGTAGGATGACAGTAGCAAGTCCTGCTTGGCCCCGCCTTCTCCACCAGGCAGAATCACCAGGGTTAAGAACCACCACTGCTTTGGGATGATAATTTGTAGTTTACCCAAGGAAGTTTCTTCTTTTTATTCAAGAAATAACTCTCTGGGTTTTTGTTGTTGTTGACTTTTTGTTTTTGCCCGGGGATAAGTACCCAGCTGTCTTTCTCTCTCTCTACTCAGGGGTAGGTATATAATAGACTCATTAGTCTTATTTTTGGCTTCCTTCATACTCCTTTCTTCTGTTCTGAGCTCTCAACTTCCTCTGTGAAGTCTGAATACTCTCTCCATCTCATTCATCTCCTGGAGTGTTCTAGGCTGTGGCCTCCTCTGCTATCTCCGTCTGTCAACGTGCTTCCATCCATTTTATGGTTTCTAGAAACAAATCTCCCATCCACTGGTGATCTTCCTTCCTATTCTGCGTGTGGGTATAGGCTTACAACATTTTATGGGCATCCTTAGACACAAGAATGGGAAGCAGAAGCTTCTAGTTGGTGTGACATCTACCCACAAGCTGCCCATTGTTTTAAAATAGAAAACACTGGTGAAGACATGTGTTTTTATTCACTCAACAAATAGAAATAAGTGGCGTGTTCTGCCTTTTCCCATTTCCACCCTTTCTCTTCTAGAGCTCATTATCCTGGGACCCACATAGTAAAGGATGCGAAGCTGACTAAGAAGAAGCTTTGGTCTTCTGAAGATTTTAGCACTGTAAATAGTGATGTGGGTGCAGGCTGCTTGGGCCGCATATTGAATCAGAATTATATCAATGGCTACATGACTGCGTAAGTTATTGAAAACCTTTAAAGGTTTTTATTTCGAAAAATTTCAAAAACACAATAAGAAAAAAGTACAGTTGGCTTCCATATTCTCTCAGTCTAGATTTGATGATTGTAAACATTTTGCCTTATTAATAGCTTCATCTGTACCTACATCTACACCTAGGCTTATCTATTTTTTTATATTTGAATATCATCTATATTGAATAAAGTTAGGCTTATTGAGATATAATTTATTTATAGTAAAATTTATGCAGTTCTGTGATTTTTGATAAGTTATGTATACCTTTTAATGAACAGTTATAAATTATAGATGTCATAATACTTCACCCCTAAATATTTTAGCATGTGTTCCCAAAACAAAGGATATTCTCCTACATGAGCTACTCAGGCGCCCCAGGACACAAGTCTTTTTAATTTCTCAGGGAAGCATTTCTTAAATGCTTTGAGAAGCTTTAACTGTAATTAGATTCAAATTTGCTTTCTAAAACAATATAAATAGAACAAAAGTAAGCCAATACTTATTTTTGTGATGTTAATGTGAGCTGATATATTCTTTTTATAGCCTTTGTTCTTTTTCTTTTCTTTTTAAAAGAAAAGATGCTTATCATGGAGAGTTTGGTTCTAGTAACTTAATTTGGTGTTAAGAGTAACGCATGCTCATGACAGAGAATTTAGTAACTGCATATAAGTACAAAGAAGGATACAAGATCACCCATATTTTTGCCAGCTAGAGGTAACCATCCTTAAATATGTTGGTGTATGTCCTCCCATTTATATTTGTATGTATAAAATTTTAACGTAGAGTTAAGATCATACTATATAATGTTTAGTAAATAAGCTGCTTTTCACTTAACAAGGAATTATGAACTTTTTTCCATATTTAAGCATGCTTCTGTTTCATAATTTTTAATGCTTATGTATATTCTGTTATGTAGAATATGGTTTCCCAAACTTGCCTTGTCTCGAGAAGCACCTGAGACAGTTGTTATATTGATTCCTAGATCTGCTGAATCATAATCTCTCCAGAAGACTTTGGAGACTCTGTTGGTGTCATCAGTACCCCAGCTGACTCTGATGCCCCACAAGTTTGGGAAGCATTGATGTAGAAAATATACCTCATTGAATGTTCTTCTCTTCCAGAAATGGAAGTTGTTTCTATTTTAAGTTAACAGCTTTGTACACATTGAAGTGATCAGTTGTATACAGATATCTTTGTACACATCTATAATTATTTCCTTAGGGTATATTCTTAGAAGGGGAATAAATATCTGGGTCAGAGGTATATAGATTTTTTTAAAAAGATTTTATTTATTTATCTGACAGAGAGAGACAGTGAGAGAGGGAATGCAAGCAGGAAGAAGCAGGCAGAGGTATATAGATTTTAAAGACTTTTGTGTATATAACAAAATGCTCGTCAGGTAGTTTTTGGTTTGTACGTCGATCACTTAGCCAGAGAAGATACTGTGCATCTTGTAATTCAGGGGTAAAATCATGGGAACTCTTGAAGTTTTCACTGGTAGTAAGGATTTTTGAAAGTTGGGCCTATTATTTCTACTTTGTGTTGACAGAATTAGAAGGCTTTGATTTCCTAAGAAAGTCATTTTATGATGAGTGAGGACTTGGTAAGAAAAAGTGAAATTCTGTGGGTAAGCTCTGGGTTTTTTATTGTTGTTATTGTTTTTTTGTTTTGTTTTGTTTTTTGTTTTTAACATTTTTATTTATTTTTTTAAGATTTTATTTATTTGTCAGAGAGAGAGAGAGAGCACAAGCAGAGGGAGTGTCAGGCAGAGGGAGAAGCAGGCTCCCTGCTGAGCAAGGAGCCCAATGTGGCACTCGATCCCAGGACCCTGGGATCATGACCTGAGCCGAAGGCAGACGCTTAACCAACTGAGCCATCTAGGCATCCCTGTTATTTTTTTTTGAGCTGTGAGAAACCCAGCAGTACCAGGGGCTAGAGCTTCCCTTTTCCCCTTGGATTTTCCTGAAAACCACAGAGTCACTATTTCAGGGTTCAGTACCAGCTGTAGAATTCTGAAAGAATGGACCAAAATGCAGACCAGCAAGCTGACCCACTAGTCCTTGCAGATGAGACAGAATCATCGCAGTTTTAGACCCCAAACCTTGTTCTAGACACTTTACAGGCATTAGTACAGTGACTCCTCACGGCAATCACGTGAGCTAGGTACAGTTACTATCCTCGTTTTACAGATGAGGAAACTGAGGTCCAGAGAGGTTAAGTGGTGGAATCATGATTTGAACCCAGGCAGTCTGACTCTAAGAGTTCTCAATTGTAAAACTTTGCAGCAGCTCAGAGTCAAGTTCATAAAATTATGTCATGAAACTGGGGTGTTAAGAAGGCCAGTTGAAGGGAAAGCAGGTATGGATAAAGCCTTTATTTGTATTTGACTCATATCTGTGACATGTCTGGTACTGGTAGGGCATGATTCATCTTCTGGCTATCCCACCGTTCAGCAAAAATTATATACCCCATATACATTTGTGTTTTTTAATTCTGCAATTCACCATTAAAAATAACTAGATGGATCCAGTGCTGGAGTTTTCAAATGTGAATGAACTTAGGTGACTTATATTTTCTTGTTTTGGGTGGTCATTTTTTGGTCCATCACATATATTTATATAAATTCTAATAAAGTTTTTTTTTTTACTACAGTCTTCTAGACATTTACATTTTGATCACAAGCTGTTTTGGCATTTCTCTTTTATCAAACCAACCTTTTAGCACAATTGCTTGGAATTTGGTGGCTAGTTACTATGAACAGTTGCCTTACGGACGGTGTGGATTGATGACTGCCCAGGAGCCATGGAGTGGGCACTATGTAGTAGAGTCTCCTATCTGGGTATCAGGTATGGTTCAGATTCCATCTCTCATGCCTCAGATTTCTCTCTAGAAGAAAAAGCAGAAAACAGAAGGAATTACACAAATGTGTGTGTGTGTGTGCGCATGTGCATGTATGTGCATGTCGTGTGTAAGTTCTAAGTTTGTGTCTCTGTTGTAAGCAAGATTTGCCATACTGTTGTATAAGAGCCTTTTGGATTACTAGACTACTTTTTGTATTCCATTCTTGGTTATCCTAAGACCAGGCTCTTAGAAAAGAAAAGGAAAGGGAGGAGAGAGGAGGGAAAAGGATTATCATCTGGTGATGGAAACAAATACATGAAGTAGTTGATAAATGTATAATTATAAATTATGATAATTGCTAATAAAATGATGTATTTGTAAAGATTTATTACAATTCAAGAGTATCTAAAGTCTTAAAACTAGTCTTGGAGACATTTTATTGTTTTATATTAGTATAGTTATGTTGATGAGAATAGAGTGCTAACAAAATCAAATGAATTATTAAGTGAATGAGTAAATGTAAAAGCTATGTGAGATATTGTGGCTTTATACTGTTGAGTATTGTTACAGATAATTTTAAGAAAAATGGAAAATCATGACTGTCACGCATATAAAAATGAACATATGTTAAAGATTTTATACTACTCGTGATAAGTGGGAACCAGGCAGATGAATCAATTCAAAGGAAAAGTCAAAACAGTATATGTTTATTTAGAATAAAAGAATTTGAGATAAATTGCAAATGGAGACAGGTTGGGTTTCCCATAGCATGGAAGAGAGGAAATCAATTACGTCCTTACCAGATAGGAGATAATTTACACATCCATCAGTTACCTATAATTTACAGAGTTTCAAAATAGTTTAAAGACAATCAAGAGGGCTGTAGGAACAAAATTTTTGTTACACTGTCAGTTATTAGTCACAAGGGACATTGAGATCATGTGGACAGTGGATGACACTGTACCACTTTTTCATGAATAATGTAACCATACTAAAAATAAATATAATTTAAACAGAATAAAAATCCTATTGTCAGATAATATTCAAGTTCTTTCTATAATTTTTTGGTAAAAAATTAAACTATTTTGTTTTAACATCATAATTACAGTCTTTTAAAAAAGATCACTTTGTTTTAACATCATAATTACAGTCTTTTAAAAAAATCTATTTCTTCAAAGGCAGAATGCTTTCCTAGGAAAATTCTGAATTTGAAGTGAAGTTTTCATTTTAAACCTTTATTTTGGGGATTTTATTTTTTATTTGATGTGTTTTTCTCAGAGAGATTTGTAGTCAGGATGTCAGTCATGAAATTATGACATTATTCTAAACTCTAAATTGTACTTTCAAAAATATATTTGTATGTCCTCATTGGTTAACCACTTAAATGTTTTAATCATTGGTCCCATGTTATCTAGGTCAACTACTCTTCTAATATTGTTGCTGTGTTTTGGTGGTAGGATGGGGACATGGAATATTGCTCAGTACATTTTCAGGGCCAGCTTTGGAGGTACCCAATAAACATATATTCTGCAAATAAAACTTGTTTGAAACCATAAAGCTTAATTTTTGAAATGCAATATTAACTATTTTTTAGTCTTATTTTTTGCAGTTATATTAGGATGGGTTAAATAGAGAGGAGCAAAGGTTCAGAAGAGATAACTTTATCTTACTCTTGGGGAAAAAAAACCCTTAATACTCTTGAATTAATAGTGTGGTTCATTTATTTTTAGCAGTAATTCTAACTATGGTTATTCTTACTACAATCGTACCATTTAACTGAACTAATTATTCAAAAGTTGAAACATGAGGTTGGCAAGTATTTTCCTCTAAAATAGAAAATAGCTTGTTAGGTTTGATCAGACTCAAGCCAGTAGACAGCTTTATTTTTTAATTTTTTAAAGAAACCCTTCCATCACTATTTTATTGGATCTTTCTCTGCTTTTCTATAGCTCATACCACTCAGTTTACTCAACCAGGTTGGTATTACCTGAAGACAGTTGGTCACTTAGAGAAAGGAGGAAGCTACGTGGCTCTGACTGATGGCCTAGGTAACCTCACCATCATCATTGAAACTATGGTAATTCTTTGTTGTTTTTTATGGAATTAACTCATTCTCTTAGTATTGGAAAAACAGTAGAAAACACAACTTTTTTCCTTTTAAAAAAAACCCCAGCTTTACCAAAGTATAATTGACATAAACAACATGTAGGGGAGGAAGAAACTTCTTCCTATACTTTCTTAGGTTCAGAAGCTGAGGCCCCAAAATTAAACTGACAAAGAATCCCAGATTCACAGGAGAAAAGAAAAGTTTATTTGTATAAGCAACATGCATACACGTGGGAGATGCCCAGTGATGAGTAACTCTGAGGGGTGGTTACAGTTTGGTTTTATATGCCTAGAGTAGTAAGTAATGGAGAAAAGGGAGAAGGGCACTTAATGGAACATAAATGATTTTTTGGGAAGATAAATGGGTTTTCAGGAGAACAAACAGGAATGATTGTGACACTGTGTGTCTATACTAGAAAGTGCTGTCTTTCCCTCTCCTTCAGGGCTATAAAAGCCCTCTGTAGAAGGGATTTGGGGTAGGTTTTATTCCCATTTCTCCTTTCTGGGAGTAAATCCATTCTAAAGAGTAGATCCATTTGTGGCAGTCTTATTTTCCAGAACTTGCTGCTCTGAGTAAGCTAAGGGAAACTCAGAGAAGACTTTTTCCTGGCATCTTTTGAATCTCAAATACCTTCAACTTTTTTTTTTTTTTAAGATTTTATTTATTTATTTGAGAGAGAGAGAGTGAGAGAGCCCAAGAGGGGGTAGGGTTAGAGGGAGAAGCAGACTCCCTGCTGAGCAGGGAGCCCGATGCGGGACTCGATCCCGGGACTCCAGGATCATGACCTGAGCCGAAAGCAGTCGCTTAACCAACTGAGCCACCCAGGCGCCCTCAAATACCTTCAACTTTAAATAATCTTTATACCAAAGTAGCCTATTTTTTGGTGGCATATTCTGATCCCCTTCAAACACATACTCAAAGTGCACAATTTTACAACTTTTAATAGGTAAATTCTCAATAAACCATTTTCACAATCAAGATAGTGAATGTATCTATGAGCCCCCAAAAGAACACTCATGTCCCTTGTTAAATATTCCCTCTGTCCTACTCCTTCTCATATCCTGCGAGTTCCCTGATCATTATTTTTTGTCACTATGGATTAGTTTGCATTTTCTAGAGTTTTGTATCCATGGAATCAGTATGGAATCATAACAATATGTACTGTTTTTTGTCTTGCTGCTTTCACTCAGGGTAATTATTTTGAGATTCCTCCATGTTGTGATATACCTACTGCTAAGTTGTATTCCATTGTAAGGACGTACCATAGTTTGTTTATCTATGCACTTGTTGATGGATGTTTGGCTTGCTTCTACTTTCTGGCTGTTACACATAAAACTATGAACATTTGTGCACAGGTTTTATATAGGTATATATTTCTTTTCTCTTTGGTAAATACATAGGAATGGAATGGCTGGGTAATATGATATGCTTCTGTTTAGCTTTTTAGGAAGCTGCCAAACTGTTGTCCAAAGTGGCTGTGCTGTTTTAAATTTCCATCAGCAGCATAATTGGAGTTCCAGTTTTTCTTTATCATTATGAACACTTGCTGTGATCAGTTATAAAAAATTTTAGCTCTTAGTATGTATGATATAGTACTTTATTTTTGGTTTTAGTTTGCATTTCCCTAATGACTGATGATGTTGAGCTTTTCATGTGCTTGGGCTTCATGTATCTTCTTTGGTGAAGTGTGTGTTAAGTCTTTTGCCTATTTTTTGTTGGCTTTTTCTTATTGTTGGATTTTGAGAGTTCTTTACATATTACATATTCTGGGTCCAAGTCATTTACAGATATGTGCTTTGTAAAGATAATTTCCCAGTCTGTAGCTTTTCATTTTGTTAAAATGTGTCTTTGGAGGAGCAGGAGTTTTTAATTTTTATGAAGTCCTGTTTATTCATTTGTACTTTCATGGAACATGCTCTTGCTATGGTATCTTAAGAAGTTTTTGCCTGTGGGTATTCATCTGTTCTAGCATCATTTGCTGGAAAGTCTATTTTTCCCATTGCATTGCCTTTGCACTTTTGTAGAAAATCCGTTATCCATGTATATGTAGGATTATTTCTGGACTCTATTCTGTTTCTTTGACCTATTTATGTATCTTTACACCAATACTATGATTACTGTGTGCATGTGTTTATATAACAATTCCTAGAAATAGGTAGTGTTAGCCCTTCAAGTTTGTTCTTTTTCAAAGTTGTTTTGGCTCTTCTAGGTCACTTGTAGTTCCATGTAAATTTTAGAATCAGTTCGTCAGTTTCACCCCCAAAGAGAAAAGCCTGCTCAGATTTTGATTGGGATTGCCTTGCATCTGTAGATCAATTTAAGGAGAATTAATATTTGAACAACATCAAGTCCTCCAGCCCTTTAACAAGACATATCCTCAGATTTATTTAGGTTTTAATTTTTCTGAATAGTATTTTATAGTTTTCAGTGTACAGGTATTTCATATCTTTTACCAAATTTTGGCTAAGTATTTCACATTTTCAATTTTATTGTAAATACTAGTTTTTAAAATTTTAATTCAAGTAGTACCTAGTATATAGTAATACAGTAGATTTTTGTATGAAGATCTTGTTTTCTGCAACATCACTAAACTCACCTATAGTTCCAGTAGCTTTTTTTGCGGATTCCACTAGATTTTCTTTGTAAATGATTGGCAAATAGAAATAATTTTACATCCTCCTGACCAACAATTGTTATTGCCTGTCCCTTTGTTATAGCCATTTTGGAGGCATGAAGTGGGATCTTATTTCAGTTTTGATTTGCATTTTCCTAGTGACTGAGGGTGTTAGGCATCCTTCATGTGTATATTGGCCATCTGGATTTCTTCTTTGGAGAAATGACCCTATAGACCCTGTGCCCATTTTTAAATTGAGATGTTTGTCTTTTTATTATTGAAATATAAGAGTTCTTCACATATTCTAGATGAAAGTCCCTTATCAGATATAGGACTTGTAGACATTTTCTCCCATTCTGTGGGTTGTTTTCCACTTCCTTTTTTAATTATTTTTTTAAAGATTTTTATTTATTTTTTTGACAGAGAGAGACACAGCGAGAGAGGGAACACAAGCAGGGGGAGTGGGAGAGGGAGAAGCAGACTACCCACTTAGCAGGGAGCCTGATGCAGGGCTTGATCCCAGGACCCCGAGATCATGACCCGAGCCGAAGGCAGACCTTAATGATTGAGCCACCCAGGCGCCCCTCCACTTCCTTTTTTAAAATTTAAACTTAACTTAAAAAAATTATGGTATAGTTCACATACAATATTATATTAGTTGTTTTTCCCTTTTTAATGATGCCCTTTCAGGTACAAAAGTTCTAAATTTTGATGAAGTCGAATATATATATTTTTCCTGTGTGTTTTTGTGTCATAATTAAGAAATTATGCTTAATCCAAGGTCATGAAATTTATACCTAAGCTTTCTTCTAAGAGTTTTATAGTTTTAGTTCTCACATTTAGGCCTTTGATCCATTTTATTTTTTTAATAGAGGGTTAGATATGTATCCAACTTCATCATTTACTGGTGGATATCATCTAATTGTTCCTGCACCATTTGTTGACTGTTCAGTCCTTATTGAATTGTCTTGGCTGCCTTGTTGAAAATCAATTGGCAATAAATGTGAGGGTTTTTTCTGGACTCTCAATTCTGTTGCCTTGACCTATAGATCTATCCTTATGGGAGCATTATGCTGTCTTAATTACTATAGCTCTGTAATACGTTTTGAAGTTAAGAAGCATGAGTCCTCCAACTTTGTTAGTTTTCAACACTGTGTGGCTCTTAGGGGTCCCTTGCATTTCCATAGAAATTTTAGGATCAGTTTGTCAATTTCTGCAATGAGGCCAGTTTGGATTTTGACAGAGATTACATTTAATCTGTAGATCATTTGGGTAGTATTGCCATTATAACAATATCAAATTTTCCAGTGCGTGAACACGGATATCTTTTCATATATTTACATTTTTACTTCTTTTAAAGGTGTTTATAGTTTGCAGGGTATAAGTCATGCTCTTCTTTTTGTTAGTTATTATTTCTGAGTATTATTTTGGTATGACTGTAAGTGAATTGTGTTCTTAATATCATTTTCAGATTTTTTCATTGCTAGTGTTTAGAAATACAATTGATTTTTACATATTGATCTTGTATCGCAGAAGTTTTCTGTACTTATTTCTTAGTTCTAATAGTTTTTTAATTGCTTCTTAGAGGATTTTCTATATACAAGATTATGTCATCTGCAAATAGAGATAGTTTGCTTCTTTCTTTTCAATCTAGATACCTTTCATTTTTTTCCTTAATTGTCCTTTAGTAATATTGAATAGAAATCGTGAGAATGTACATTTTTATCCTGTACCTGATCTTAGGGGAAACACTTCCAGTCTTAAGTGTAATGTTAGCTGTGGTTTTTTCGTAAATATTTTTTACAAGGTTAAAGAACTTCCCTTCTATTCCTAGTTTGTGGAGTGCTTTTATTATAAAAAGGTATTGGATTTTATCAAATCCTTTCTGGATCTATTGAGGTGATCATGTGGTTTTTGTTTTTTATTTTATTGATATGGTGTATTACATTGATGGAATTTTGTCTGCTAAACTAGCTTTGCATTTCTGGGATAAATTCCACTTCATCATCATGTATAATCTTCCTGTTTGTTGCTGGATTTGATTTGCTAGTATTTTGTTGAGGATTTTTGTGTCCAAATTCATAAGAAATACTGGTACGTAGTTTTCTTTTCTTGTAATATCTTTGTTTTTTATATATTTTATTTTATTTTATTTAAATTCAATTAGCCAACATATAGTATGTCATTAGTTTTGATACAGTGTTCAATGATTCAATTAGTTGCATATAACACCCAGCACTCATCATATCACGTGCCCATCACCAATTACCAGTTACCCCATCCCCCTACCCACCTTCCTTTATGCAACCCTCAGTTTGTTTCCCAGAGTCAAGAGTCTCTCATGGTTTGTCTCCCT